TAAGAGAACGTTTTGCGCTTGACTGCAGGGAAATAATTTCCTGCCACCTGCCGTAAGAAACAAAGGACCGTTTTGATCATTTCAATAAAACATCCCAATGGAGTGTGTTTTGAAGAAGACCTGCGGGTCGCGGAGGAGGTGGCAGAGAGGGCAAAACGTTCTAAAAAGTGCAGAGGGCATCCCTGTAGCATACTTTACCTGTAGAGGGAAAACGCTGTTTCTTTCCAATATAACGGCTTCACAGTGGAAGGAGGTGACGCAGTGTCACTTCTAGCAGAAGCGTGAGACAGATGTCTGCGGAGGGGAAAGGTGAATCGGTCAATGGGCGAAGGCTGCAGTCCCAGAGATGCTGTGGAGCTAAATTTAACCACTGTCAAGGAAACAGAGTCATAGAAACACCATCCAAGATGTAGCACATCATCCAACGTGTGCTGGGTTTTGCAATATAACTTTGAGGCCATTTGGGTTGTAGGAAAGTGAAACCAAGGCATCTGGTCCCGCTCAGCTGGAGCCAGATTAGCAGGTGCTGGGTTTTTGTTGTTGAATGAAGAAATAACCACAACGGAGGGGTTAACCTGCCTCCTCGCTGCCCGTGATGTGTGCCCAGCCCGCCCGGCCCTGCCTTTAGACACTGTGGCACATTGTGGGTTTGTCTGATTTTTCATTTCAGTACTGGAGCCAACCACACATCAAAACCAGGAGAATTAGAATGAAAGACAGTGTTAAAATTGTGGACTGATTGAATTGGCACCTTCTTTTAAAATAAGCTCATTGCCACCCAGAAGCGATGTGTATTTATGTACTGGTTAGTAACAGGCCAAATGAAGTGACACACGAAAGGGAGCTGCCTACACCCGTGCACCGAGGTGTGTGTGTCTCATACTTCTGCATAAACATCTCCAAATAAAGAAAAACCCAGCACTATTGACAGAGCAAAGGCCAGCTCTATTTATATCTGCATTAAGGCTGTGATAATGAAAAGATGCTTTAATGTGTCCCAAGGCCTAGATGAAACACTGAAAATGTTGCTTTTAAGAAAAAAATGATAATAATATCCCCTTGAAATCCCAGGGAAATGTGTGTGACGGACTTCTTGAGAGCAATATCAAAGAAATGAAATAGGAGTTGCAGAGCATAGGGAGTTACTGCAGTCATGGGCTTTGAATTGGTTTAAATCTTTGCTTTTAAGCTTTTTTTCTTAGTATCTCTTTAAAAGTAACACTTTAATGAGAGGGAGAATGTTTTACTGCCGCTGAACTCTAGCAGCAGTGCAGATCTGTCAGACCTTACCTTATTTTGGAGTGTAAATCCTTCCTCCACGGTTGCTCCTGCTGTCTGGCCCCTCTCGCAGGTGTCAGACTCGGGGGGGCACGCAGGCGCTGGCAGGGGCGGCGTGAACGTCTGATGGGTGAAAATGTTCTCTCACCACAGGATTTGCATTTTACAGTTAGAAAGGAAAGAAATTTTTCTTTTCTGAAAGTCTTGGAGGGTCTTCTGGATTTTTGTTTTTGAGGCAATTGGAAAATTGGAAAAAGGAAGACATTTTCTCAGAATACCGTGTTTCATCTCATCTCATGTCTTTGGTCAGCTTGGTCAACTGGTTGTTTCATGCTATTGAGCAGGTGTAAAATACGGCTGCTGGGGCAGAAGACACCCTTGAGCACTTCTGAGCAGGTTGGCAGGTGTCAGCTTCTCTGGTGCCACTGTCCCTTTCCCTGAAAAGCCTCATCCTGAATCGTTATTTTGCCCTCACGCTGAATTTAGAGGAATGCCTGCAAGGAGCAGCACTGGCCAAGCAGGACGCAGTGGCCGGAGCCCGTCACCTCTCTCATCCCCACTCCTGGCACATCCTCGGATCTTCACCCACACTCCCCCAGCCAGGCTCTGACAGCTCCGAAGCCAACACGTGCCTGTTGCGTTTTATTTTAACTTTTCCCAGTCAATACCTGCTGTGTTCATTTTTAGCTTGCATTTTTGTCTACTTGTACTAGATCAGAGCACTGTACTCCTTCAGTCAATTTGATAATAGCGAGATAGTATGGAAATCCCCCTTGGGTGAAGAAGAGGGGGGCAATGATCGCATAGAAGCGCACTGATTTGTATTAACGACGTCATCCAAAAGAGACAAATGAAGGGAGCAAGCTATAAAGCTTATGGTGTTCGTTAAAGTTGAAAAGACATCCAGTTTTGAGTCATGGAATTTGGTTTTTTGAAGCATGAATGATGATATTCACCCTTTGCCCTTGGAGCAGGCAACGTGCTTTGTTTGGACCATTGGCAGCCCTGGGCGTGCTGTTGGCGCTCATCAGATAACTGTTGTTATTAACAATGCACAGATGTATTGGCAATTGCTTTTAGGTAGTCAGGCCAGCTGGAAAGAGTATGAAAGAACTTATTAGAGACAGATATTAAAGTGCAAGTTAGAAGATGAAAAGGAGGAGGAATTCTGGTTTATCTGTGTCATTAAAGGCACGCTCTGCAGAGGAAAACAAGCAGAAGCAGACAGAGTGCATGCACAATTTTTGAAGGCGAACCGCTTTAGCTTGCTGAGAGATACAAAGAGAAAGAGTAGAGCTGTATGTTTACCTTCCTTTTGTCCCTTAGATGCTGGTTTGCAAATACAAATGGGCAGGTGCATTTGTAGTATTTATGTTAGAAGAAGTTACAGGTTGTAAGGACGAGCACCTTGACAGTGCTCACGCAGTCTCTCTGTTGGCCAGCCAGGCTGTTTCTGTTGTCTCTCTGCATGAGGGAGCTGCACGGGAGGAGCAGGTTGGCTTTGGGAGTGCCGTGCCTTCGGCTGTGGTGTGTGCTTCCTGCGCTGCCGTACTGCCCACGCAGCTATCGCATGGGCTCTGCTGCCAGCAGGGCACAAGGATGAGCCGGTGACAGCCACCCCTTCCCAGCACCTCTGGTAGCCCTGGGATCCCCACAGCCCTCTGGCAGGTGCCTGGGAGCAGGGCTGTGCCCTGGGCAGCTCCCGGCAGGGACGGAGGTGTGAAAATATCCACGTGTATTGGGGGGGTTGTTGGAAAAGCAAGGGACCCAGGTGAGTGTGCTCGGAGCGTGCAGGTCTGTGTGTGCCTGACCAAGGGCTGCAGTGCTATGTCTCTGCTCGGGCAGGACCCGCCATCCCGCTGTCGGCTGGGGCTTGGAGCTGCCCTGTCCAAACCCAGTTGGGCTGGCAGAGGCAGTGCCGTGCGGTGCCAGCACAGGGCAGCGAGCACACACACCGTGACAGAAGCTGGGCTGCCACGTGTCCCCCACGGCTTCAGAGCCGCCATCCTCATCTCGGGATATTCAGTGTTTGCTGTTGCAGCAGACGTCAGACAAATCCCAATTCCTTCTTTTACCTGTGTGAGGACCGCTTCAGGCCCCACTCATGTTCCCCTTCCTCCCACCGCTTCTTCACTCCTGATGCTGGACAAGCGAAGCCGTGCAGCCCATCTTCAGCCAAGAAACACTGGCAGTTTTAATCCCTCTTGCTTTTTTTTCAGCCCCCAACCACCACCCATGCAGCTCCTAACAAAGCTGCACTGTACTGTTGTCTCTCTGATTTCCTATTGTAATTTGGGCTGATTTTAATTGGTTTGCATATTCAGTTGTTTTTCAGCTCGTCAGGAAGGATAATTAAAATAAAATCTTGCCCTCTATGCTCCTCTCCATCCGTCGCAGCAATACTAGGGGAGCATGTTGATCTGAAGAACAGTGAAGCAGGGCTTAGTCCCTGTGAAATGCTTGGGAGGCTGGTTGTTAAGCATTACGTTATTCAAAACACATTAAATTGTCCTGAATGAGGGGGAAGCATGTCTCAATCATCAAGCTGATGGACATTAACAGTCTTCTGACACAACTTTGTTAGAATTGAACTAGATTTAGCTACTGCTTGCCTCATTCCCATTCTGCAAGGGAAGCTGTGGACAGGAAACTGGCAAGGAGTAGGAGGCATAAATTCAAGATACCCGCAGCTTGGTCCGAAAGGCTTTATATAAATCCTCTGGATTTCTAGACTTTAGAGAAATACGGTTGGCATTACTGCCTTCTGTCGACCGAGCAGGGAAGTTTAACCAGAAGTCCAGGGTATGAATGCTTAAGACTTTGGAGGGGGCTTTAAAATCTGAGGGTGGTTTAAATGTTACTGGTGAGAAAGAGGGAGAAAGGGAAGTAACACATTTCTCAACGTTTCCAGGTTTACAAAACCTGTATGCTGAGCTAGCGGCTGTTAGGATTGGCTCAGTCTCAAAATGAGAAAAATGGGAAAAAAATATCTATTATACATGACATGCGAGCAGTTAACCAGCAGTTTTTCAGCATATTGCTAATATTTGTGTTTGCTGTCTTTGAGGAAAATGTGAAACTGAATTTTGAAAGTTTGACTATCAATTCATTTGTAATTACTCTTTATAAGCCTCATGTGAGCATCACTGTTAGAAGCCACTAGAGCCGGCCTGGTCTCCCATGTCATAGCCCTGCCATCGCCACTGTGGGAAGGGGATTCCTGCCTTGCTGGGAGCTGGTAATAAGCAAGTGTCAGCGTTTCCCAGCTGCGAGTCCGCACAGAAACCCCAGTGCCGGGGATTTGTGCAAAGAGGAGAGGCTTCTTGCGCATCCGTTGGCCATGATGGATGAGCTGGGATTTAACATCCTCCCTCCGATTCAGTAGGAGAGCAGCACGGGGGCGGATAAACCCGCCGCAGAGCAGGAACTGCGGGGCCGGGACGGGCACGCGCCGTTTCTCACGCTGACTGCCAGGGTGCCGATTACATGGGAATTAGGAGAATAGATGTCTGAGGTGTGTTTCCCCCTCCCCAGTTATTTTATGGTTTGGTCATTGTTCGGGGGGCAGTGTATCTCTCTCCGAGCTACCTTAGCTTTTGTATTTGTTAGCCTTAATCAGCTGCAGGGTGTTAATTATACCGCTAAGCCAACTGAGCCCCAGGAGCTCAGCTCTGCGCCCTTGCTGACGTGGCTCTTCGTTTCCCTCCTGTCGTCTCTCACAGAGGTCAAAAATAGCCGTCTACGAGAAAATGTGGTCGTACATGAAGTCGGCCGAGCCGTCGGTGTTCACCAAAACGACGGCGGACGGGGTGGCGAGGGTGCGGAAGTCGAAGGGGAAGTTCGCCTTCCTGCTGGAGTCGACGATGAACGAGTACATCGAGCAGCGCAAGCCCTGCGACACCATGAAAGTCGGCGGCAACCTGGATTCCAAGGGCTATGGTGTAGCAACCCCCAAAGGCTCAGCATTAAGGTGGGTGGAATAATATAACAATATCCATGTTGTTATAGTATTCCACCTACCCTGATGTATTGTGTTGTCATTTTCTTTCTTGTGGATTTTGAGGTAACTTTAAAGTTTAAAATCTTCAATATTCCATGGAGTTAAATAAGACGGTAAATTATGGTTTCGTTTATTTAATGCATCCATTTTTTAGTGTTCTCTTCGTGTTGTCCTTTCTGATTGTTTGTTGCTGTTTTAATTTTACAGTTCAATGGCTTTTTCAATTTAAATGGTAAAAGCCGAGTTAACCTGCCATATGTGACGAATGTTAACTGCATGATGTGGTGTTCTTGTTACTTTTTTTCTCAAAGACGATTTCCCCATCCCGCACACTTCAGTTTTGAGCAAATGTTATCCTCCATGCCACCTTCCAATATTTAACCCTGTATTTGCTGTACAGACATTTTGATAGCTCCACGTTCTGTGAAATTTTAGCCAATTTGTCCTCTTGTGCTCCTTTTTTTATACGTTACGATTTCCTAAGCATTTGTGCATTTTTTCTTACAAGTTATGTTTTATCGTTTCAAGAAATGCTGTTAACCTGGCAGTATTAAAACTGAATGAGCAAGGCCTCTTGGACAAATTGAAAAACAAATGGTGGTACGACAAAGGAGAGTGCGGCAGCGGGGGAGGTGACTCCAAGGTCAGCCTCAATGTCACCACAATCGGGTACCTTAGCAAAGAGTAATCGGCAAGGCTGTTATTTTACTTCTCAAGGAAAAAAAAAAACAAAAACAACAAAAAAAGCAGATTAAAGTAATTTGGATAAGTGTGGTGGTGGGGGGGAAAAATCCATTTGCTTGCCCAGTAGCTCTTTCAAAGAAACGGTCTTATTTAATATCATCAACAGGCTTGGTCAAGCTTGGAAACCGTATTTAACTAACAGATAGAAAGTCGGGTATTGGTGGGACCTGTGCAGAGCACATCAGTACTTGTAACTGCACGAGAAAACCGTGGTCACATCTGGACGCCGCACTAATCCCTGAGCACAAGGCTTCGGTCCTGCTCCGTGACTTAGCTGCGGTGTACAGTGCTTTTTGAGAGAGTTTTTTTCCACAGGCTCAGCTGTGCCAGCACGGATCTTTAGTCAAGAGAGGTCCCTTCTCCTTTGCTCTTTTGGGGAGGGGTCAGGAGACCCAGTCCCAGCACAGGCTGCTTTGCTGGCCTGACCGGGTGCCCCCAGAGCCCCTGGGAGCAGCTCTGCTTGGAGGAGTAGGGTCTGTAGCTCAGGGAGAGGAAGGGTGGCTGCTCATCTCATCGCAGTGTCGGGGCAAGACCCCCGC